ACCCCCCACACCTCTGTCCTGTACCACAGTTCCTGTATGCATAAATAAATAAATCATTTTTTAAAAAGTGAAAAATATAATGACTAAATTATATAATTAAGCAACAGAAGACCTTGCCAGTAAATTAGGCAGAGCAGAAAGCTGATCAGTAAACCAGAAAATAGATCAACAGAAAATATCTAGCGTAGAGTGTAAAGGAAAATACGAAAAAGACTACAAAAATGTATGCAGTTTAGTGAGAGTTCATGTATACACAATTAGAATTAAAGATGGGCAAGAGGAAAATTGGGCAGAAGTAGTATTTAAAAGGAAACAGGCCAAGAAAGTTCCATTACATAAGAATGTCACCAAGTCACAGATTAGAGAAGTTATATGAAACTCTCAAACAGGTAACACCAAAGGGCCTCCCTGGTGGCGCAAGGGGTTAAGATGCAACCTGTGAAGCTGTACGCAGCCACTGCAGCATGAGTTTGATCCCTGGCCAGGGAGCAACCCACATAGTGCAGCCGACCTCTCCTGACTCACCCGCTGCTCCCCTCAGCAGTGTACTTTGGTCAGTCTGCCTGTTCTGTTCCCCACTCTGTCTCTGGTGAATCCTCTTGATTGATTGAAAGTCATGAGATTTAAATTGAGGGTGAGATTTCTCATGAGGGTGAGATTCTCACCCTCCGCACCTCTGGCCTGTACCCCAGCTCTTGCATGCATAAATAAATAAATCTTAAATAAAAAAAAAAAGAAAAGAAAAGAACACCAAAGTACATCTTGGAATAACTGCTAAAATACAGTAACAAAAATTTAAATCTCATGACTTTCAATCAAGATGGTACAAAAGGCTCCTGATCCCAACTCCTCCCACAGGCCTACTGAATCTACAGCTCTCTGAAAAAATTCCAGAAATTATCTGAATGACTCCTGTACATCACGAAAGAGAGAAAATACCCACAGAAAAATGGGTCTTAGCATACACTACCTGCTGTGAGTCACTCAAAACAGAGAAAGGGACTCTGACAATCACAGAGGTCTGAGAGAGATTCAAGAGCGTGGGGCAGGGTGAACAGTAAGGTTCATCTCCTACATGAGATCATTCTGTCAAGACTTAAAGAGGTGACTATTTAATGTAATGGAATAAAAAAACCAATGCAAAGAGTCTAAGAAAATTAATAAACAGAGGAATATGTTCTAAAGAAAAGAATAAAACTCCAGAAACAGACCATAATGAGATAAGTGATTTATAAAGAATTTGGAATAATGCTCCTAAGGATGTTTTTGAGATCAGGAAAATCATGAATGAGCAAAGTGAGAATTTCATGAAAAAAACAGAAAATATATGAAAATATCAAAGAGAAATCACAGAGCTTAAGAACAAAATAATTTAAATGAATTTTTTTTTTTTTTTAATAGAGGCATTTTTTTTTTATTTATTTATTTGGTTTTTTTTTTGTTTGTTTATACATGCACTGGGCACAGTCAGAAGCGCGGGAGGGTGAGAGAATTCACCAGAGCCAGAGCAGGGAGCAGAGCAGGCAGAAGGACCGAAGTACACTGCTGAGGGGAGCAGCGGGCGGCAGGAGAGGTCTGCGCGCCATGTGGGACCCTGCTCCGGTGGCCGGGGAGCAGCCGGGTATCGAACCAGCGCCGCAGAGGCCGCGGGCAGCTTCGCAGCCCAGCGCTCAACCACTGCGCCACCGGGGAGGCCCTGAAATGAAATTTTAAGAGAAGTTCAGTGGCAGACTAGATCAAGTGGCAGAAAGGAACAGCAAATCAGAGGACAGGGCAGCGGAATTCATTTGCAGAAGAGCAAAAAAGAAACAGAAATGAAAAAGTTTGGAGTGCTTATGGAACTTATGGGACACATCAGGTAGATCAATATTTGCACATTACGGGTCTCAGAGAGGGAGCAGAAAGGGACAAAAAGGTTATTTAAAAGATAATGGCTAATAATTTCCCTAACTTGTGGAAAGAATTAGGCATCCAGATCCAGGAAGCAGAGTCATATATGATGAATCTGATGAGATTCACACAAAAATACATATTAGTTAAATTGTCAAAAGTTAAAGAAAATGAATCAGAAAAATTCCAAGAAAAAAACAACTTGCTATACACAAGAGAACCCCATAATATTATCAGCAAATTTTTAGATGTTGTCAAGTGCACACACATTGTTACATTCATATGAAAACTTGATTCATATGAAATTGGTAGTCAATTACAAGAAGTAAACCGGAAAATACACAAATCTATAGTTTAATCAACATGCCACTGAAAAACCAATGAGCCGAAGAAGAAACCAAAAAAGAAATTAAAAAATCTCAACATGTGTGGTGAGAGATATATAATAGACTCTGGTAATCATTTCACTATGTATACAAATACCTGATTATTATGTCATACACCTGAAATTTAAGTAATATTATTTAAAAAAAAATCTTATGACTAATGAAAATGGAAATACAACTTAACAAAACTAACTGGGCATATAAAAGGGAAGTATGTAGCAATAAATGCCTACATTAAGAAATAAGAAATATCTCAATTTAACTTTATACTTCAAGGAACGAGAAAAAGAACACATGAAGTACAAAGTTATGAAATAACAAAGATCAAGAGCAGGAATAAAGACCAAAAAAGAAAATTAAAAAATCAATAAAACTAAGAATTATTTTTTCAGATGATAAACAAGATAAACCTTTGAATTTAATGTGCAAAAAAGAAAGACTCAAAACTAGAAATATAAGAAGAGATATTGCAACTGATATTACACAAATACAGCAGATCATGAGGTTACCATGAATAGTTATATACCAACAAATTGGACAGCCTTTAAAAAATTCTTAGAACCCACCAAGTAGAAAATCTAAACTGACCCATTACTAGCCAGTAATAAAAAAAAAAAAAAAAAAACAACTCTCTACAAACAAAACCAGCTGCCTCCATGGGTGAATTCTAATAAACATAAAAAGAAGAATTAACACCAATACTTCTCAAATTTTCCAAAAAATTGAAGAGGAAAGAGCAATTACAAATCATTTTATTATGCCAGCATTACAATGATATCAGAAACAGGATTCTACTAGAAAAATAAACTGCAGACCAGTATCCTAATGTACAAAGATGTAAAAACCCTCAACAAAATTTTAACAAACTAAATTCAGTAATTCATTGAAAGGATTACACAACATGATCAAGGGAAATTTATTCCAAGAATATAAGGATGATTCAGTATCTACAAATCAATTTGCTTCACCACATTAACAAAAAAAGTATACAAGTCACATGATCATTTCAATAGATGCCTTAAAAGCATGTAACAAAAATCAAAATCCATTCATGATAAAAACTCAACAGACTACCTATTGAGGTAATGTCCTCAATACAGTAAAAGCTATATTAAACAAGTCCACAGAAACATCATACTCAATGTGAAAAGCTAGAAGCTTTTCTTCTTCTAAGATTAGGAAAAAGACAAGGATGTCTACACTCACCACTATTATTCAACATAGAAGTGGAAGTGGAAGTCCTCGCTAGAGCAATTAAGGCAAGAAAAAGAAAGGAAAAGCAACCAAATTGGAAAGGAAGAAGTAAAACTCTCTCTTTGCAGATGACATGATACTAAACATAGAAAAACCTCAAGACTCCACCAAAAAACTCTTAGAACTAAGGAGTGAATTCAGAGTCGAGTTGTAGGGTACAAAATCAGTATACTAAAATCAGTTGCATTCAATACAATAATAGTATCAGAAAAAGAATTTTAAAAATATTTATAATTGCATAAAAATAAATGTAATCAAGGAGGTTAAAGCTCTTTACATTGAAAACAATATGACACTGATAAAACAAATTGAAGACACAAGATCTAAATCTATAGAACTTAAAAGACTTTCTCTTACTCTACTAAATTCCAAGATTAAACTGTTATTTTTAATATAAAAGTTGTTAAAAATGTAAACAGTATGAACAGTAAGAAATTTTACCATTCTTCATTAGGGATTCTATACTTCCCTTTCTCCTTCTCTGCTTGGCTTACTCACATGCATACTGTATGTGCTCTTTCTCTTACTCTTATATTCTCTCTCTCTCTCTCTCTCTCTCTCTCTCTCTCTCTCTCTCTCTCTCTCTCTCTCTTTCTCTCTCTCATGGTATTTAAAACCAGAAAGTTTAAATAACACACAGGGTCAGGCTCACTCACCAGCTCTGCACACAAAACACACAAGACTCAGAAAATACAAAAATATAAGCTCAAGTTCAAATCCCAGTTTTACAACTAAAACTAGTTGAATAATCACTTCCTGGCTTCGTGACTTCAGTAACATACTTTACCTCTAATAAGTCTATCTCCTCATCTATAAAAACGGAGGAAAAACCATTAAATCAAGAATCAAATCCAATACCCATTGTGCAGTATTGATAGATAGTTAAGTGTTTAAAAATCCTCTGTTATCACCACCACTACCACCACCACCACTATGGTGACCATTTTGAACAAGTCGTATGAGCATATATTGCAGTTTCTTGATAAAATGGGAAAAGCATTGTCTCAAATGGCACATATAATAACTTTATAATGGATTCTACAAATTCCCTTAATCATTGTTAAAAGTCATAGGGGAAAAAGTTCCTTTTCAAGAACTTAACAGTCCTTTGAGAACAAGTAATATATTTGACTGTTTTTAGTTCTGAAAATAAGTGAACACTTTCCCTTTGTTTTTGATTATTGTAAATATTTTTTAAATTCAATGACATATACTCAGAAAGAAATATGTTGATTTTTAAAGACAATCTCTCTATACTAATAAACAATCACAAATAAATTTGGTAAAGAAAACGTCAGGCTATGGTCCACTTTCACAATCCCAATATAATGTAAATACTGTAAAGTGAACAATTTGGTGGAGGGGGGTTGTTTTCAAACTTCTTCACTTAAAGACATTGCTGTATATTAATAACTATAATAACTGTATGTTATACCTCCTCTAACAATAATGGATATAAACGCCTCTTACCAAGTCGCGCTTTTTTAGTGGCAGAAAGTAGTAATAGTGGCAGAAACCAACTATCAACGCATAACAAGTAAGAAGTTCAGTGTAGAAACACAACTGCAGAAAAAGCCAATGATTATCTTCACCAACACAATTGTTAATCCTGAAGGAAAAAAAATGAAAAAAGAAATATTTTCAACTTTAATAAGACATTAATTTCAAAATTGGTGAAACTGAAAATAAACAATTTTATACATTCCACATATGCGGAAATATGTTAAAGCCACATAAATTAAAAGCCAACAGTATTCAGGAAAAGATAATATAAATATGCCATTTCACAACTGTAAGGCACTGCTACTGCACACAGGAAGTCCACATACATGATGCCCTTCAACTACAATTCAGTGAGGCAGGAAGAACAGATGGCAGTCTCCTCCTTTCATTGATATGGGAACAAGAACGAAGGTGTTTTAGCCACTTTCTAAAGCACACGCAGTTAGAAGAGATAGTATCCAAGCAAACAAGAATGCTCCTCTCCTATATAATACTTTCCATCACAGCTTTTTAGCTGCGGAGAGAAATTTGAATGATTCAAAACAAAATAAGTTCAACTTGTCATTCTGACACACTTGCTAAGTATACACAATTTTTCATAATTTTAAAAACTATCTAAGGTTGTTAAAAATAAAAGCAGATACCAACTATTTACAAATTCTTAGGGCTACAATAGATAACCCTAAGCGGGACAAAGGATTAATGTTACAATCCCCAAATTTTCAAGATTAATGCAGGTGAATATTTTATTATTCCAAATTTTTACTCTACCCAAATTTTCAATATTTTAGCAGAAACTCTATTTCAAAACTAAAAATTACTTTGCACAATGAAAATGTTTTCATTTCAATATATTGTTAGATTTTTCAGTATACTGTCACTATCTGAAAAAAAATATATATATAAAAAAACCAGGTTCAATTCCTAACTCCAATTGTTATTTTAAACATATGTCCATAAAACTATTTTTTAAAAAATCAAATATAGAACTAAACTGAAAAATCTCCTGAAGGAATTTCTAAGACTTATGAGCTCATGTTTTGTAAACAAGAAAATTTCCTGTGTGTGGTTATTTATAAGCAGGACTAACAGAGAAACATGCTTTTATATGAACTAAAAAATACACTTCAACATCTGTTGCTTGAAAGATGACTTATCCTTTTTTCATTCTTCCTGCCCCCAAAATCTGAGACATAACTGCTATGATCATGGCATTCGTCTTATCCAGAGGGCTTTAAGAAACACTGTGGCACTAATCTATACAGGTAAGACTTGTTTTTGTAATAATTAAACTACTTAGTATGATCACAATCAGAAATACAGAATATTCTGAGGTGATCTGAGAATTAATCTCCAAATCTAAAACTGTCAGGCTGTTAAAATAATAGTGTGGAAAATATCAAAAATTCTCTATCACATACAAGTGAAATCATACAGTTTGTTTTTCTATGTCTGGCTAATTTCACTAAGCACAATTCCCTCTAGAAAGCAAACAGATGAACTAAGTGAAACAAAAATAAATTTTGGGACTGTAAGACCAATTAGTGGTTATCACAGGGAATGGGGCTGGCTACACCCAGAAAAGGGGACAATGGCATGGTGAATGAATGATAGAATTGGATTTTTAGTGAGGAATTTAATGTAGTATATACACATGTTGATTCTTATTAATGCACATCTGTAACTTATTATTGCAATAAAAATTTAATAAGGCAGTTCTATTTCACATATAAAAAAATTCTACTTCCTTCCAGTTTACACTGTACATTTCCCTCACTCTCTGCGTATCTCTGCAGTACTATATTAGGGAATATAATCATGAAAATTCCTAAATCTATTTGCATCTAGACCACCTTCCCTTCTTATCCTCCAGCCGTTTCTGCTTTCCCTCTCCCTCCCAACAACATTCTGAAAAAATAAGTAAAACTATGGAAACAAGAGGTCCCAAAATAGAGAAACCACACCAATTTTAGAATTTAAGTTAAAGGGTAATTTATTTGGTCACTGAGTTAGTCTTTATTCCTTAAAAATAAATAATATCACTAATCTCTATCATACAATCCACTTTTATTTATTTATTTTATTTTATTTTTTTTTTTTATTTTTATTTTTTTAAAGATTTATTTATTTATTTATTTATACAAGCACTGGGTATAGTCAGAAGCACGGGAGGGTGAGAGAATTCACCAGAGCCAGAGCAGGGAGCAGAGCAGGCAGAAGGACAGAAGTACACTGCTGAGGGGAGCAGTGGGCGGCAGGAGAGGTCCGCGTGCCATGAGGGACCCTCCTCCCGTCGCCCGGGAGCAGCCAGAGATCGAACCCGCGCCGCAGAGGCAGCGGCCAGCTTCGCAACCCAGAGCTCAACGGCTGTGCCACCGCGGAGGCCCATACCATCCACTTTTAACTGATTATCTTTTAAGTTTAACTACTGAATTATTTTGGAAGGAAATATCAATATACAAATGTATCGTGAACATTTATTATATTTTTCGTTAATGAGAAATACTATATTTTATATTTTATATTTATATTTTATATTTAAAATATTATATTTTTCATTAATGAGAAATACTGCCACTTATCTAAATACCTAGCTTTTAAAAAAATCTATTACTATTGTGACTATACATGATCACTGAGATTTAGATTCAAGATAAAATTTTTAAAATGTAACTAAATGTCATATCCTATCTTGTTAACAAAATCACAAAATTTTTAAATTTTATATAGCAGTATGCTGTTTTCTGAAATTTTTTTTCTCCAATTTCAATTACCTTCTACTTAAATAATCAGTTTGTAATAAAACACAAATTTCCACTAAAAGACTACTAATAACTTGTGTAAAGATACTGAAAATAACAGAAACTTTAAATTGATTAGCATTACTATTAGGCAAAGTTAGTTAACTTTAGAAATATGCAGTTATAAACTTAAGAAGTTCATTTTGTAGCTAATTTTGTATATATGCATACATGTGTGTACAACACACATGTATGCATGTACATATATTTATAGAGAACTGCACTACATCAGCTTAAATTTTTATACAGCAATCCCATGTTAGGAAAACAGAATTAAAGACACTATCTTGCTCACAAATTTTTATGACAGTTCTGAAGTGAGATACAATGCAGAATTCTCACAGCATTTGTTTTTAAATATTCTATTTCTCAAGTGAACTTTTTCTTTAAATATTACAAGAGAGCCCCCTATTGACAAAAAATGTTGACAGTTCAGTAGAATCACTCAATATGCCTGCAATATTTATAATATATCTAAATCAAAATACTGAAAAAGACTAAAAGAGAGAGAAAAGATGTATCAGGATATCGGAAATGCATTATTATTTAATTTAGTAAACAGGAAGGGAAATTCAAAAAATAGGATATATATAGCACTCATTACAAGTAGAAACAGTAGCATCTACCATTTAGGTACTTTCTTTGGGTCAGATGTTGCACTGAATGCTTTACACACATTGCCTCATTTAATACAAATACCTTAGTTCATTTGCATTTACATGGGTGCATGTACTTTCCTAGTTTTCTGCTCAGTACTCTGTTTTAGAATACGATCTCTGCAGAAAAGACTTTGGAAGTTAACAGAACCATATGACCAAAGAAAAATGACCTTTTAAAAACTGTGTAACTTTAATATAATTTTTGTTTAAACCTGTTAAGTATCAAGATTTACTTTTTACTAAAAATGAATTATTCTTTTCTTACCATGGACAGTGATGATCCATTCTCCTAACACAGTGGCCACAGCGGCTGCAGTGATGGGAACGCTTTGGTCTCATCAGATTACACTTGTTACATAATTCCCAGAACTCCCTTTCTAAAGAAGGAAATTAGAATCCATTTAATGAAGGCGAATGAGTAATGTCAAAATTCAGCAACAACTTTCTCAAAGATATAAGAAGTCTCCAGCATATACTGAAATTTTTCTTCTAAGTCTCCAGTATAAATGTGTTTGCCATAAAAGCTGTTGTTCTATTCTATATGTCTTATTTATTTCTTTCTAATTTAATTTCTTATTTATGTCTTTCTAATTTAAAACTATGAAAATAAGACTATTAATAGTCAAAGTAAAAGAAAACAATGTATTTGGGTTTCAGCTAGAATAGTAAGTAAAATCTAACGACAAAACCCTAAAATACAATCAAATTGCAGTATTAAATATTTAAGCAAATTAATTTCCAGACATTTATTACCTGAAGGCTCAAAAGAAGAAATGAAACTGAACCCTGACTTCAAATGAGTTTAGAGGGGATTAGAATAATTTTAGAAGTGAAAGTGATAACAGGAAAAGTTAATAGAAATAAAGGAGTTCTTCACAAGTAGGGACCACCTCTAATCTGTAGTGAAGAATGAAAGCCTAAAATTAAGTTCTGTGATAAAAGCATGAAATTTGCAGAAATAAAAACTTAATTGTTTTCATTATAAGGTATTCTAAACAAATCCACTGAAACTGTATGGGAGTCATCAACAAAGACAATACTTTATTATATCAGAATTTATCATATTTGTTAAAGTGGAATTTTACTTTCATAAAATTCTTAAATCCTTCATCACTTACATTTAAACTTCACCCTAACCTCATTAAAAATTTGGGCATAGTAAAATTAACCTAACTTCCATGTTTAGGATGAATATTAGTACATGCAAAATGTGACATTAGTATATAGTATGTGGTCACTAAATGCCTGCTGACATATAATTTTACAATTTAAAAAATGAAAAATCCTAAATATAAGCAAAAGAAGATCATTTTCTAAATTTCAATGTTCAAAAAAATATACACTACTTTAATTCCATTATTTCATTTTAATGACTCAGAGTAAGATTAATAAACTGAAATTTTAAATAGTAAAGTTTTAGGAAGACATTTTGCTATAAGTACCACTGAAAATATCTATAGCCAACTGATCCAATAATATGAAAGTTGAGAAATCTCTTACATTTAAAACTTCATTAAAATTGTTTCAATTCTTATTTTAACAAAAAAGAGCAATGATAAAAAGTTCAATACATACAAACTAAACTAGTCTTACCATAAATGAAATAAAGCCTCATTTAATATGTGGCATCATACAAAGTCAAAAGCATAATCTTTTTTCCCATTTAGCTAGATGGGAAACATCCAAATATTAAACATCCAAATATTAAAACTTTGAATTCACGTAAGTGAATCCAAACAGGGATAATTCTGAGAAACTCACTGATAGGCAGCTTTGTTGCTGTGTGAACAAAATAGAATGTATATATTTCAAACAGTAATTCTCCATTTCTCTGGCATTGCAATTCAGGAGTGGTTCTTGGAAGAAGAATTGAGTGATCCATGGTTTCTCATTGCTCCAGCAGTATGCTGGCACTGTGTACTTCTTACTATACTTGAAGTCCTCGGGGTTGCATGTCAGATCACAAAAGGTTTTAATCTGTAGTCTGCAACACTGTCCCTGCAAGTCTGCAAGACTGTTACCCTGTCCTTAAAAGCTTATAACCTGGCACTAACTTGAACGCCTAATAGAAGAAAGTATTTTCACATACCCTTCTCCAGAATAGGGAGGTTTCATCTATATTGAAGATTTGCTTTGACAAGTAATTTACCTCCACAGTAAGCTTTTCTAGAGCTTCTTTTTATTTTTTAAAGATTATTATATTTATTTATGTATATAAGAACCGGGGTATAAGCCAGAGGTGTGGGCGGGGGGAGAGGATTCACCAGAGACTGGGTGGGGAGCAGAACAAGTGGAGCTACTGAGATACGCTGGTGAGGGGAGCAGCAGGGGAGACAGGAGAGGTCTGCTGTGCTATGTGGGTAGTTCCCTGGCTGGGATGGAACTCATGCCACAGTGGCTGGCAATAGCTTGATAGCACTGAGACTTTAACCCCTGTACTACCAGGGAGGCCCCTTATTTAGAGTTTCTTAAAATTTTTCAGCTGCCGGGCATCCCTGGTGGTGCAAAGGATTAAGAATCAGCACTCTGAAGCTATCGGCAGCCACTGCAACATGAGTTCAATCCCGGGCCAGGGAGCTAATCCACATGGTACAACAGACCACTCCCATCTTGCCCACTGTTCCCCTCGGCAGTGTAACTCAGTAGCTCCACCTGTTCTACTCCCCACTGTCTCTGGTGAATCCTCTGACCCTCCCTGCACCTATGGCCTATACCCCAGCTTGTATGAATAAACAAATCTTTCAAAAAATTTTTTTTCAGCTGCCTTTACATTAGAACTCACAGACTCATCACTCTTTCATTATATAATAACGAATAATGTTTCTTCTTTTTTTAAAGATTTATTTATGCCCTCAAGAACAGGAGTGCAGGCCAGAGGTGCGAGGAGAGGTGTTAGAGGATTCACCAGATAGAGTAGGGAGCAGAACAGGCAGACTGACTGAAACACACTGCTGAGGGGAGCAGCGGGCAAGACAGGAGAGGTCTACTGCGAGAGGATTCACCAGAGACAGAGTGGGGAGCAGAACATTCACCAGAGACGGACTGACTGAAATACATTGCTGAGGGGAGCAGTGAGTGAGACAGGAGAGGTCTGCTACGCCATGTGGGTTAGCGATGGAACTTGTGCTGCAGTGGCTGCAGATAGCTTCACAGTACTGACACTGAACCCCTTGGGCCACCATGGAGGCCTGTGAAGAAGGTTTCTTAAATCACTTAAACTACCCATAGTTAACAGTAAATTCAACGTTGTAGCTTGGTCCAGTCTTTTGTTTCAACAATGCAAACAAATTTTTACTTTGGTCTTGACTGTCAAGGAGCTGAGCAGCAAACACTTCCATGTTCAATCTTCAATCCAGGTCATTAGATGTTTCTCCATCTCTAATACAGGCGTTTCTTGAATTTTTGCTAGTCGTCTTGTTTTCAACGAAGCAGATCCTTTTAACAGCTTCCTTCTCTTTGTTCTTGTTCTTCAAGACCATCTGGCAAGAACTAGCCATCCCTGATTATCTACTTTTGTAGTCCTTAATCACTCTGATTCTGTTTCCTGGTCTGATGTGGCCTCTTACTGACCATAGATTTTATATGCTTAGGAATAATTATGAAAAAAAAAAAAAAAACAACTAAATCAAGCACAAGGGAAAATGATGATATCAAAGAGATGCAGTAAACATTAGATGGACAAGATTGCTGCCAGCACAAAATGCTGACTTTACATTGGTTACGACAGCACTTGACAATAGGAATTTGGAGCCCAGGCCCTTTCAGTTGTATAGTTTCTCCTATATTGATAGAAACACTGCTATGCAGCACAAGACTGTACTGCAAGGAAAAGGGTGAGGAAGGAGAGTCCTTGAAGAGCCAATTTTCATTGAAAGACAACATAAGAACTTTATGTTCTTAAACCAGTCCATTAAATTATAGAAGATACATATTCATTATTGTCAATTTCAGAGAAATCAGCATGTAATGTACTAGAAATAAGTTATTTACTTCATACCTAAAATATTGTACCCTCAGAAAAGATGACACAATTTGGCTATCATCAGAGAAGGCCTGTAATTGCGTAGTCTAGACCGCAGTTTGGCAAAACTATAGTCCACAGGCAAATTCAGTCCACCACCTGTTTTTGTATGCCTCATGAGCTAAGAATGGTTTTTTACAATCTTAAATGACCGGGGAAAAAAATAGTTTTTGGTTTGTAAAAATCATGACATTCAGATTCAGTTTTGATAAATAAAGGCTTTTTAAAAAATATATCTAAGCCCATTCATTTACATATGGTCTATGACTACTTTTGTGCTCTGATAGCAGAGCTCAGGAGTTATAACAAAGACCATATGTTCCATAAAGCTGAAAATATTTACTATCTGGCCCTTTATAGCAAAGAAGAGTTTGCCAATATATGGTCTGGCTGATTAACTTATTTAAAGAAAGTGCTTAAGAGTCATATCTTTAGTCAAATTTAAGATATACAAGTATCTCAAATGAAAAATACCTATGAAAACTCACACTTCACACACATGCACAAGTATACACACAACCAACCCCATTTGTTTAGCAAAGAAAAAAGTAAAAATTTAAAAATCTAAAAATTTAATTGATTATATTTGTTTTTGCTTGTACAGCAAGGAAAAAATCTATTTCAACCTATTCTATATATCTAGAAATGATTTCTTAGTTTTTTTTCCCCCTTTTTTTTTTAGGGTTTGTTCATGTCCAAATATAATGTTGGTGACTGATACATTTTGGTGACTGATGAATAATACCTAAAAGACTTTTAGACTAGCCAGCTAATAATATAAAATAAAAAGTTATGGGAGCGGGAAACCAATTGATAATTTTCTGTAGCTATAAAAAATTAAAAACTAAAAGGTACATTTTTTAAGGGAAGAAAAAAATCAAAATATAAAACAAAGAAAAAGTGACAAACACCATAAATGATTGAGGCTGTTCAATATGAGTTAATAGCATTATACTGATTACCATGAGTCTTTATTATTGCTATAAATGTCTAAATGAATATAAAGATTTGACTTGGTTTAATCCCTCAGGAAGAAATCACTTTCTGAACCTTCTAAAATACTTGCATATTAAGAGACCCTTTCTCAACTACTATATTTCAAATCATAACATAATGCTTCTGGGAGAAAAACTACCAAAACCAATACAAGGTTTGGATCTGAATACAGATTTCTCTGACAGAACTGACTGCCAATGTAGGAAATAAATGCTAATAAGCCTTTTATAGATCATCTTTGTAAAGCAATAAAAGGGGGAAAAAAACAAAAACTATTGGTGAATACATGACAGGCCATTAATAGCACATGCACACTTAAGTTTTGAGCAGAATTTCAAGGGATGGCATCAGATAACTTCAAAATGTGCTATATTTTTTAAAAAACTTAGAAGGAAGATTTTGCTCTGTAAATCTGTTCAAAAGTGACTCTATGGATGACAAAAATTCTGAAGTTAAATTATGCAAATGAAGCACTTGATGATGAAAATGTACTACTACTGATAGTGGTATTGGCTTAATAACTCTGTGGATATGTTAAAAGCCATTAAACCATACACTTTAAATGGGTGAATTATATGACATGTAAACTATACTCCATAAAACTATTAAAAAAATTTAACAGCACCAATAAAATCATTTCATAAAATGTGAAAGTGACAAAAATATTCATATATTTCAAATACACATGTGAATAATTTGAATAATATAGACTTGTAAAGATTTCATTTGACTATTTCATCTACATGCCCAGAAGATAATAAAATCAAATTCTAGGAATCTTTGTATGAGAACTGGAACATTCTCTTATATTCAAATTGCCTCATATTTTGTGAGTCACTTAGATACTAAACTTACTCTGTTTTAAAATAAAACCAGACTACTAGACAGGCATGTAAAATATTTCAGGGTATTTCAACAAAAATGGTCAAAATCAAAAAAGATAGTGGTTTTTAGTTTCCTTTTCTAAAAAAATAATATGAAACTGCTCAACGTTAAAACAGAGCTGAATAAACTGTACAACCCCAACTTCTATATTATTTTTCACAGTTAAAAGTTGGGTTTTATGTTTTTTACTAAGTTAAAACCATATTTACAGGGCTTTCCTGGTGGCGCAAGGGTTAAGACACAACCTATGAAGCTATCTGCAGCCACTGCAGCCTGAGTTCGATTCCCCACCAGACAGGGAGCAACCCACATGGCACGGCAGACCTCTCCTGACTCGCCCGCTGCTCCCCTCAGCAGTGTACTTCGGTCAATCTACCTGTTCTGTTCCCCACTCTGTCTCTGGTGAATCCTCTCATCCACCACACCTCTGGCCTGTACCCCAGCTCTTGTATGCTTAAAAAAAAATATTCACAAAATAATTATGTAAGCAGCACCTGAAAGCACATATAATGACTTCAATTTTCCCCAGAATCAAAGCTAAGGTGAAAACTGAGCTAAAATTATCAGCCGATAGATATAGAGATCCATCCATGGTTTTAAAAGAGTGGAGACAAGAATTTAGGCCTTAGTAGTTCTCTAACAACCGGCTGAGTGCCCATAAGGGACTATCACTATCTTGAGGGTCACGATTACCTTGAGGATCACATTAAAATATGATTAATTTTTTTCTTTACTCAATTGGGCAAAAGGTCAGTCTTCTAGACTCAGAGAAGAAAAAAAAGAGACCAAACATTAACTGAAATCAAATATAATGAATATCCATATATTCAGCAAGATGCCATGGTGTCCTCCATCCCTGAAGTCTATAAACTAAAGGTAACACACTAATTTCATGGGGACTTAATTAGACCCATAGACACAATTTGTTTTATATTTATTTAAAAAGAATGTTTTTAATTTTTTCAATAAGTTGCTATATTTTTGAAGAATCATGAAAGTTCTCATAAAAAAGGGAATCCTCTATTTTCTCTGAGAAATAAATTGTAAGATCTAAGATTACCAGCAATGTTTTGATAATTTTTTTTAAAGATTTATTTATTTATTTATTTATACAAGCACTGGGTACAGTCAGAAGCATGGGAGGGTGAGAGAATTCACCAGAGCCAGAGCAGAGAGCAGAATAGGCAGAAGGACTGAAGTACACTGCTGAGGGCTGCAGCGGGCGGCAGGAGAGGTCTGCGCGTCATGTTTTGATAATTTTGCTGTAGTTGAGGAGTTGCCAGCCATGATAGATAATATGAGATTTATGAGGTTTTCAATATGAAACAGTTCCTATCTGACCCATCACACTTATTTGTAGTAGGTGACATTTTGTGTGTCTGACTACCAACAACTCAGGAACAGGTCCTGAATTATGAAAAGCTTGCTTCTTTGATTTGCTGGGGCCACTGGGTTTTAAAGTTGAAGCAGACAACACTGTATATCAGTATTTTAGAAAGACTTCAGATTAGGCCAGTAGAGAATAGATTAATCTATATTGCAAAGCGCCACCTTACATGCCCATGTATAAATGTTTACACATACTCAGTAACTGCTAAGTGACACTGATAATGCATCTCTAAATTAATAAAAACTAAATATTCAACATAGTTTCTAAAAACTTCAACATCCATGTCCTATTAACTTATAATCTCTAAACTTGCGAGGCTATCAAAGTAAGCCCTTAAATGATGGATCTGAAAAACAACTATCAGGAATTCAAGGGAGGCTCTGAAAGTGTCTTGCCACTGAATCTAACTTCAGAAGGAATTACTACATTGGCTCTCAAATTTTGCTACACATAATAGTTAACTGTAATGTGCTGCAATTTTGGAAACCACTGAATTACAAATTAAAAGTATTCTCGTTCTAATATGTACAACAAACATATAAATTGCTTATTAGAAGAAAGCACCAAAGTTCTCAAAATTTACAAAACAAATGATTAAAAAATGAAGCCTGAAAAGAGGATAACTGTATCTGGCAAGTAATAAATTAAGCAATATATTTTCAATTCTTATGGTTTAAATGGTTATTATGCAATAAAGGGATTAAAAATTTTCATCAACTGACAAAAAATAAAAGGTTTTCAAAGTTTTCACTGAATTACTAGAACCTGGAGAAATATAGGCAGTTGTATTCATAATACTATAAATGTTTACACCAAGCAATATTATTTTTATGAAGTGGCACAATCAAGAAAATTTCTTTATAAAAATCTAAGAAATACAATTTCTCAGATAACTATGTATCATTCAAGAAATAATTACCTAGTTTCTACTAAGTGACAGAGACTTTTCTGTCTGTATCTAGGGCTATAGTACTGAATAAATAAAATATAACCAAAAAAACCTACAATCTCACAGAACTTATAGCAACAGAATGGGAAGAAGAGTGGGACAAACCAGTAAAGTAAAAAGGAGAGAGTGAGGGATGCTGGCAGTCAGTTAGGTTTTGCAATTTTATTTTTTTTTAAAGTTCAAGAATTTTTATGCAGTTCTTATGTCTTTATCCCACAAAAAACATTCAAGCACATTCTTTGTTCTGATAATGACTTATCCTAAACAGAGTAGTATGGAAAGGAAATATTTGAGAAAAGACTTGAAATGAGATTTTCCGTGACACATATAACTAATATATAATAAAAGCAATAAAATACATTCATAAAGATAATAATTCCGGCATAGTTAAACTGATAAATCTGAAAAATACCATACCCCCATGTGGAATCTTTGGGTTTTCAGGAAGTCTTCCGGGATCAGTTATTGAGGCCCTCACTAAGGCAACCAGACAAAATATGGAAATGCCATAGAATACTTTAAAAGAAAGAAATAATCATTAACACTTCACAATCTTTTATCAACATTTAAAATTTAAAATGCATATTTTAATTAATAGCATAAGGATAAATAATTTTCAAAAGATGGAAAAATTAAACAGTTCATTTCACTCATGAAATACTACTACCAAATACTACTGCTACTACCAGCTACAAGTTAATGTATCTTTCTTTCTTTCTTAATATTATTTTGCATATTAATAACTGATGAACTTGTTATAAATCAGATTCTTTATCCATAGAGATTCCCTGTGAAAAATGATATAAATGAAGGGGTTCCCTTTTAATTACTTCTTATTTGCAAGAAGTAAAAGGAGAATTTTAAAACCTATTGTACAACTAAACTTTCTCACTAATTCCAACTGGTTATCTTCAAAATTACTTTAAGCTAGTGAGTTTAATCACTCCTTTCGATGGATCTTAAGATTCAATTTGAAAATAAAGAATCTAGAAACTCCTGAGTTTTAAAATGAGTAACTAGAGAAATGACAGTAAGGGAAAATATTCAGTCATTTTAATTTCAGCTTTTAAAGGTAAAGAATATAGGCATGGGGAGGGGGAGAGGAAGGTGGGGAAGAAAGTACTGCACAAGTAATGGGGAACTTGGAGCTAGTGCTAACTCCAGGCTGACTGCATGGTGTTTGTCAGTTTTATCATTTGTTCAACAGAGACCGTATTTCTCACAGCTCTTCTCAGGTCAAAATGATGTAATGAACATGAAAATTATAAATGCGATGTACATGTAAAATATATAATTTCAACCTTTTTCTTCTAACCATAAGCAAGCCTTACCAATGAACCAGAGTAGAAAATAACTAAGTTTGAAGAGTTATCACAACCAACATCTTACTCAATAATTTTTGTATCATAAAATTTTTATTTCTCAATAATGTTTACCATCTTTATTCTTGAAACTCCTTCCACAATACACATCAGAAATATTAAAAATACACACAGACACACGCATATCAGTATTATTATGCCAGTTTTTTTAAAAAACAAATTGGAATTTATATATTTGCAGAATTAGATAAAAAGGTTATTTTTTTAAAAAAAACTTCAATAATTTAGTAAATAACTACTATTAATAGCACTAATAATATTAAAAGGAAGGTTATCATAGTGGAACTCCAAAATATTCACAGTGAGAAAATCTTTGATTATGAAAAGAAATAAAGATCTAGAAACTTACTTATTATTAATATGCCAGGAATATGTCCTTCTTCATAGTGAGGAAAGAGGACAATTTTGGGAACTATAATAATATTGAATAACCAGACAAAGACAATCAAACCCATGCAGCACCAACCATGTGGGTCAACAACAAAGTGAATCCGGAGACCCATTTTGCAGTCTTGTAACTGCCTGCTAACCCACAAATAAAATCCTAAAAAGGGAGGAAAAAGAGAAAAATTACTTGTAGAGAAAAAAATTATTTGATTATGACAAAACTAAATAAGGCAACTACAAAATGGTACTTAATGAGTTTTCTTTGTATAGCTGATTCCTTTGACAAAATATCACAACTTGAAACACAAACATAAGTTTTGGGATATTTCAATTTAACCATACCTTCAAATATTTAATATCAATTTTCATTATGAATTGCTATTATAGAGCATAAGTTGGCATTACCTTCTGAAGTTAAACACAAATCTATCAGTAGTTCCACATGTGAACCCAACAGAAATGGGAGCACATATCCACCAAAAAGACATATGCAAAAATTTTAGTAGATTTAATCATAAAACCGAATGATTGTTATACAAATCAAAATAGTGGTCAGAACTAAAAAGTGACAAGAGGGAAAACTGCCAAACTAGAAACACCTATATCTTGACCTGGGTGGTGAGTTATGAATACATACACATATGTGAAAATTCATTGAGCAGTACATGAAAGATTTATGCAACTTAATTTTAAACAAAAAAAGTTCAAAATTGTTTTGAAAAATTAAAATATAAATTTCCAACAACATTAGAATTCATGAATGAACTTCAAGGAATCTTATTACTATCAATTTAAGAAGAATCTTTTTCAAATGGGGATTTTTTTTCAGGTGATTAACAAAAAGTTAACAGACCTTCCATATGAGATACTTAAAGATAGTTCTACACATGCACCATACCAAAAGAGTGACATATAAATATATACATACTTTAGTATAGATAACTCATAAAACTTAAACAATAAATTCTAAATTCTAGGGGGCAACTTTCTCATACAATACAATGGAATAATACAATAAACTAGGACAATGTTTCTCAAACCTATGAGCAAACAAGAATCAAGTGAGGAACCTAATGAAAATACTATCCCTAAGCCCCATTCCCGAGCTACTGAATCATAGTTCTTTATGCGGTAAAGCTCAAAAACAAATAAAATATTTTAAAATGCTCCTGAAGATGTCTATGACACAGATGACTGATATCCAGGACCACAGAGCCATTGTTACAACAATGACTTGAACTCAGTTCAGTAAATAACTATAATACCAGCAAGTTAACTGTAGTACCAGTTACTTTGTAGACCTTGTAAATACAAGGATGAACAAGATATAGTCTTTTCTGAGAAGAATTAACAGTCTAGTGGGAGAAAGGCTGATTAGATGGGTTTAAAATAACTTGGTAAATTTCAGAGACGTGGACAAGATATTATGAGGTAATCAGGGTAAGACTTCCATTAGAGGGTAACACCTGAGCTCAGTCTTAAAGGTGAGTAACAGCTATCCAAGCAAAGAAAAGTGACAATAGAAGAAAGAGTAAATAAGAGTAAAAATTGTGGAGGGTATAATAAACTGCTATCATAAGTCATAAAGCTTTCAGTGGAGAGTAAATAGTGAAAAAGGAGCTTTATCATGAAGGGCCATAAAGATGCCATCTTAAAATATTAGGACTTCATTCTTAGATACCGGAAAGCTATTGAAGCAGGGAGCTAACAAAATGAGATTCATACTTTAAATAACTGCAGCTCTGTGTTAAGAATAATATCAAAGACAGAGTCAAGTTAGACAAAGAAAAGATAAAAAGCCAAAATTAATTTCAGAGAAGCGATCAACTGAAGAAATAGCTAGAATCAAACTAGTAAATTTTACTAATTGATTATATACTAAGGGTTACAGATGAAATAGTCAAGTGTAACTCCTAGATTTTCAGTTTATATCCCACTCTATTTCATTCTAAGAATTGTCATTAATTGAAGAGCCTCAGGGTGCCATCCCTTAGAAGCTTTGTCAATGTTCTTCAAAGCTACAAAACTGCCAGAACAATAATAGATTAGCCCTATCCTATCATCCCTAGAACTTGCAAATAATGGGGTAGCAAAAAAGAACACAGTAACTCAAATTCAACACCCCCCAAATGTTTAAACCAGATATGGTCTCAATTAGTAGTTATATGTGAATTCTAAAATAGGACTAGTGCCTGAACCTTGGAAAACTTAAAGCTGAACTTCACTATCTTTCAATTCAAAAACCAAAAGAATTATGAGTATCATAGCGAGTAAAATCACAGAAGACAAAGCATGCTGTTTAATTTCCTTGTTATCATTTCAGTAACTAAAGAAGTTAAAGGACAAATGGTACTTATTTGCATAGCTATCTACATAGCTAAAGAGAGAAATATTTTACAGTATGTTTATTTTTTCATCCTTGTCAACCAGTGAGTAATAAAAGATACAAGGCTGTCTTTCAATATACTCAATATTACTAGCTTTATGTTCCTCCTCTTTTTTTAATGTTTTGGTTCCACTCAAGACTAAAAAAAAAAAAAATAGAAATTCCAATAATTATATAGAATACAAAAAACTTAATTACTTATCTCTAAATATATTACTATTAGAAACATAAAAGCATCAAGTCAGCAAACCAAGTAGGAAAATTATCAAATACTCATTCATTTTTTGAATTCTTTTTATTCTCCTCTACTAAAGAGGAGATTTTTCTTATCACTGAAAGAATTCCCACAACAGAAAATTAGTGAAAAGTATAGTTTAAAATGTGTTTTTTCTTAGATGTTTAAATAATGAATAGTTTAGAATGTGTCTGTTTTTTTCTGGATGTAAATATACAGACAACAAATTCAAAAGAACAAGCACCCCCAAGGAAAAGTGAGCAAGGATTAGAAAAATAAAACAAAGAGCAGTAAGATTTTAATTATTTTTTTTAAAAGTACCTGATTTTTAAAAATTAGTAGCATAAATCCTTACAATTGGAGTGTAGACAAGAAACGGTAGTCCTCCAAGAGCACCAAATCAGATTACAACCAGAGTCACATAACTGGGAGAACTGCAGGATCTACCAGGCGTGGCTATGGTTGAACAGAAACTATTACACATTCTGAGCAACAACTGAACCAAACATATGGCTGCTCTAGGTTTTAAGGATGGCATTTGTAAAATACTTTCATTAGCTGGTGATTCCAACATGTTAATTTGTATATTAAATGGTGAGCTCATAACTCAAACTTTGATGTAACCAGAGGACAGGCTGGTATTTCAACATTTTTTAAGATTGCTATCTGGTACTTGAGTGCTATGATTAACTTCATTAATGATGTAAATTACTACAGCACAAGCTTTTCTTAAAAGAAATTATAATTCAACTCCAATAAACTAGACCACATAAATATTTACAATGTTCAATTTATCTAATAGGAGGTTTCCTTTCCTTTTGTGCCTTTTCAGGAAACTAAATTTCACTACATATTTTCCTCAGAAAGAGAATAAATTATTAAAAATATACTAAAGTCACAATGAAAAGAAAATAACAGAAAACTATTATGTGACAGAAAACTACCATCAGATTTCAGAAAATGATAAAAATTAGCCAAAATAATTTATAAGAAACCCAGTAAAAATGTATCTCTAATCTATACTTTTATATGACTCTCCATCTCAGCCAAAGTGGTCTTATTACTGTTTCATAAATTTGAAAAATATATTCCTTTTCCCATTCCTCCTAAGTGAGGAATTCTACTTTACTCTATTTCTACTTTACTCTATTTCTACTTTACTCTACCATTCTACTTTACTCTATTTAAATTCAACTCATAATGTAAGGTCAATTTGAACTTCACTCTCCACATGAAATTTTTCCTGGCACCTCAGTGCACAGTGATGTCTTTGTCTTCTAAATTAAAAATAAAAGACAAAACTATTAGAATAAAATAGCAAGAGCCTTTATAACATGAGAATGAAAAGGGTCTTTACAAACAAGACTAGAAGCCATGTTTGACCACAAAAACACTAAAATTTCCAAAGTTGAAAACAAAAAAACATGAAAAAGATAAAGCATTCCTGGAAAAAATATTACTTGGTTGATAAAAGGCAAGTATGTACATAAATACATGCAAATAATTTACAAGAGGAAAAAAAATTCAGTGGCTGAACATCATTGATGAGGGTAATGTGAAATAATTAGGTACATTTTTCATGCTTTGTACTGACAAAATTTTAGCAAGATGATATCCATCCTTGAGAGGGCATGGGGAAAAGAACATTCATGCGCATAAACGGATATAATCACTTCTGGTGAGCAAATTGGCAGTATCTGTTAAAATGTCAACTCTTTGAGCTGATGAGACTCAACAAAAACAACGAAAATAATACAGTCAAAAAATGGGCAGAAGAGCTACACAGAAACTTCTCCAAAGAGGAAATACAAATGGCCACCAGGTATATGAAAAAATGTTCAACGTCACTTGCAATCAGGGAAATGCAAATCAAAACTACAATGAGATACCATCTTACACCAGTGAGAATGGCACATATTAAAAAAACTAGCAACAACAAATGTTGGCAAGGATGTGGAGAGAAAGGAACTCTCCTGCACTGCTGGTGGGAGTGCAAACTGGTCCAACCACTACGGAGAGCTGTGTGGGGATTCTTCAACCTACTAAAGATAGAGCTTCCATATGATCCAGCAATTCCACTCCTAGGTATTTACCCAAAGGACACAGAAACATTAATTCCAAAGAGCACCTGCACCCCTATGTTTATAGCAGCACAATTTACAATAGCTAAGCTTTGGAAACAACCCAAATGCCCAAAAATAGATGACTGGATCAAGAAGATGTAGTACATATACACCATGGAATATTACTCAGCATTCAAAAAAGATAAACACATGCAGTTTGCAGCAACATGGATGGAGCTGGAAGGGATCATGCTCAGCAAAATAAGCCAGAAAGAAAAAGAAAAATACCAGATGGTCTCACTCATAACAGGAATCTAGAAAACCTAAATAAGGGTCCAGGAAAAAGAATAACTATAAGAAAGAAAAAAATCAAAATCAACAAACAAAACAACTATATGAACCAGAGACACACTATTGGGGGGGGGGGGATGAGGGAATGGGGTCAAAATCAGGGGGTCGCAATTGTATGGGGAATATAAAAATAAAAAATAAAAAAATATCAACTCTTTGACACAGAAATTTATTTCTAATACTACTATTAATGCATTCATGAGACTGTACAGGTATATATATGCACAGAATGGTCTATAGAACACTTGTTTGTGATCACAAAAAGTACGGCACAACCTAAATGTCAAGTAGAAACAGGGGAATGATCAAATACATTTCCAAGCTAAGGCACTTTGAAAAGAAAAAAAGTAGAGATAAAAGGAGTTCTAAGGAGAACTATCTAGAGGATTACCCATTACACATAGTGTTGAGTCGATAAAGCCAGTTACCTAGGCAAATTCTATGGAAGAAGGAGATGAATCTTTTCTGAGTTTTTTTGACTCACAAATAATTTTGTCTTTAATTATTCAATTTATTAATTGTAGCACACACCAAACATTTGGAAAACAGAAATGGTAACATGTGTATGATGCAATGCCGGGAAACAAAACTTGAACTTGTGAAAAACAGTTTCTTAAAGAGTTTTGATAACTGAATTTTTATGATTATAATTTTGTTCTTTTTGGAAAAACAATCTCAGTCATAGTAAAACATAAGCTGAAATTTCACTACAGTCTGGGCATATACTGTCTCAAATTTAAAAGAAATTACAAACTTCAGAGTGTACAAGAAAAATTACAAAGGGTCATTATAAGTTGTATTCTATTAAGGAAGAGTTTTGAAGGTACACAATTTTGATGAAAGGATTTAGGAAGAAAGACAAATCCAATTAAGGAGCAAAGGAGCTAACTTTGCAAATATAGGATGGTTAACTTAAATGAGGTATTTGCTAAGCAAAAATGTAATAGAAATATTTCATCACATCAGAAAAAGTTTGGAAAGTGATATACAAGTCATTTTGTTCTAGTCAAAACAACACTGATAATTTCAGTTCAGTTGACTACTCAAAGCATTTGTCAACATTATTTTAAACTGTTCTTTCTCCAACATATTTTCTGCTTTTCTTTTTTTAGGTTGGTAGTCATTTTAAAGGTAGAACTTTTCAGTTTTGTTTATCTGATTTGTTATCAGCCTCTGCCAGTCATCTTCATTAGTGAAAAATGCACTCAAATCAGTAGTATCTTTTATCTTGATAGCCTGAAAATAACTTTATGGCAGAGCTGATTTCAAATTCCTTGTTTTCACATGTTCTGTGAGAAAAGAAGAATCATAAAAAGTCTTTGCAATTACATTCCTCTTGTCACTTGGCTCTCCTTAGGAACTGGATGGACACTTGAGTTAAAGAGAGTAACTTTGCTATTGCTAGAAGTATATTCTATTATTTCTTCTATAAATGGGTCTTCCTTTCCTCCATTTTTAGGATCTGAACAAAAACCCACAATCTTTTCATTCCTAATTTCTTGCCCAGAATTATACTTCTCTACGACATTGTTTTGTGTTTTTTTCCATTGACATTTCACTATGTTTGGTATTTACTACTGAGATGATCCTAAAACTTCTTGTCTTCCTCAAACTTTTTCTCTTTGCATACTTTGTTGTTATGTTCTGATAACTTAATATGAGTTTATTGAAGAGAAGAAAACTTTCTTAATCTAATTAATTTCTCCATTAAGTTCTTCAACTTAACTTTTCATGATTCTCTTCTACCAATCCAAACTGACCTGCTATTGGGGCACAGTATTTCTCAACTTCATTTAATTATTTCCAATGATCTTCAGACAAAAGATATAGTTGGACTTTCTGTTCCATTTCACTGCAAAAAATATCTGGAAACCTTCTGCCATTTAAGTTCCTGTATCTCATCTACAATAATCTGACCAATCTGCTGTTAATAACTGAGTTTCAGCTTCCTTTGACATAAACAATTGAGTACTGATTAGAAAACTCAAACTAAAAGTCCTTACATAAATTGCTAAAACAGAACATGAACCAGCGTAAGAAAAAATTCTGGAGGTCCCAGAAATTTCAAGGGTTAAACCCTCCACCAGGCTTTTCTTCCCCGAAACTCACCAGGGGCTTATTGGGAATGTTGGACAGAACACTTTGAAAACACTTAGAAAACACTTAGAAAACTTTGCCCTGCAATACTAGTTGGGAAGGAGAAAAACAGTCATAGCCATCTGCCACCACTGAAACATCTCAGAAGGGATGAATCTTAACAGTGATTTCCTAGAGAAAGAAAAAGACAGAGATAGACAAGAAAAAGGCATAAGGAAAATTTCTGGGAATGTTGATAAAGATCTCTGTCTTAAATGAGATACACACATGAACGGAACTGTCAAAGCTCAGCATATATAAACTTAAGGTGGGTGCATTCCTTGGCATGTAAATTTACCTTTGGGGAAAAAAGGTAAGCCAATATTGAACTCTAATGATATGTACACTAAAGTATTAGGGGAAGGGGAAGGGAGTGTACAGAAATCTGCAATTTACTTTGAAATGGATCCAAAAATTAAAAAAGTTGGTTGATGGATAGGCAGAGAGATGGATATGTGTGACGAAGTTCAGTAAAGCATTAATTGCAGTAAATAATTAATTGGGGGTTCAGATGTCACACTATACATTTTTTTCAACTCTTCTGTTTGAAATTTTCATAATTAAATGTTCGAGGGTAAACATTTACATGATTCCTTTTCACTAGAAAATATTATTGGTATAAATGACTTCTGTGTACGTAAGCGGGAGAAAATGTGGAGGAAAACACATCAACCAAAGTGTTAACAGTAGCCATCACCAGCGTGAGGAAATTAAGAGTAGTGAGAAGTTTTCACATTTTATATACGTATTTATGTGTTCTAAGTTTATTAATAAATTTATATGCTTCTAAATTTTTCTCAACCAACTGAAAGATAAAGACAGCATAGCAGGTCTGACTACACTACAAACTTTGAAACAAAATGTTTAAGCCTCTCATCACTCTCATCCTTATATTACTTTTAAAATTAATATTTTTAACATATAGTGCAAAAACATCATTTGTAAAGCCATATAATATAAACAATTCAAAAAGATGTTTCCAAAACTCTCATTATAATACAAATTATTTTTCTGTGCAAAAAGACTTAAGAAAATATTTACTTAAAATTTAATATGAGTATTTTTAAATAACTACAATTTTTTTTGCTAATGAAAAATTATTAAATGCATCTAAACATAAGACTTCGAGGACCTAAGCCATATATCCAAAAATACATTCCCATGTAAAAGTAAATGCAGACTTACCACTTGCAAATTCACTGAGATGTGTTGCAATTTCTCTGGTACTTGCATTTAGAGGCTGTATCTTCATTCATTTTTTTTTTTAAATCATATCCCAACAAACGGATCTCTCCTCAATAGCAGCTCTTCATGAGAATCTATTAATGGTTTAAAAAAATGATCTCTCATAAAAGTAAAAATAATAAACAGATAAATATTCTAATGGTGAAATATCAATTACAAAAGTTTTCAATTCATAAATAAAAGGACTCACCTCCACTGATTCTACACTTTCATGTCTCATCCCATAACCTCAAAAACTTCCACCTGATTACCATTATACATGAAATCTCTCTCTTTAGAAACTACCCAATTCCCCCAAATCCCAAATTGTCATTATGTATATAGCTTTTAGGTTCAAACTTACTTGACTACAAATCCCAAAATGATAATACTGATGTGACAGAATGCAATGTAATATCTATCAACATGTGAGGCTAGAACTATCTAATCACAATTGGTAAATACAAAATAAAGAGTTTAAAACAGAGGTAAACTTTAGCTTAAAATGAATGAAGGAAAGTTACCCTTTTTTAATGAAACCATTAAGAAACTCAGCAGTGAAAGCTCGTTTCTACAATTTAAGCTTAAACAATACTCTAAAATGTTCTATATAATATGCTGACCCAATTATTTCATTAATTCAATTAACATCTTTCAAATGTATACTATACTTTGTGAAAAGAGATGAGTGCTATCCTCAATAAAGATAGATTAGTAGACAAGATTAACATCAGGCAGGACAAGAGGGCAAGAAAGCATCTCATATAGGAAGGGAAATGGCTCATGGAACTTTTTCAGTTATATCAACGCATGTGTTTCCTGGGTTACTTTATAAAATTTCGTACAGTGTACTGCCATCAGGAAATTATTTCTGGAGAAAGTGATGCCTATGAGTTAGCTAGATGAAGACTGGAGGCTGTTCTGAACAAGGTAGAATAAGCAAAGGCATGAGGACGATAAGCAAATGCCAACACATTCTGAGGAAACCAAAAAGGACAGAGGCATTGCTTATGAGAGAAAGGAGTAAAGCATGTCTAACCCTTTCATAATCAACTCTAAGAAATAGATCTTATAACATTACTAGTACACACAGAAATATATAAAATATATAAGAATACACTTCATCTATAACTGAAATACATAACTCTCAAAGTTTAATGAATTGATATTTACCTTTCTACATGTATAGTATTCTGATATTCTACTTTATTCTATTTCACTTTAACAAAAATATATAATGCTGGTCACAGCCTACTAAACTGATTACAGACCCACAAACAGAAAGTGATTCTAAGAGTGAAAATCACTATTAAACCATGTCAATGAGTTTGGACTTCACCCTGCACACAGTGGGAAACCACTGAAGGATTTTAAGCAGAAGAAATTTCCTTGCACTTGAGGGGAAAGAAAAGCAATACTTTCAAAAACAGACTGGCTAGATGAAATAAGCTAGTCTTACTAATTACCCAGGTGAGAAATGGGGAGACATGGTAAGTACCTCAAATGTGGTGACTTATAAGGAGAATGAGGGATGGAGACGTGAGGAAGGAACACTTAAATGGGAGATTTGCAGAGAAAAGGCAGATTAAGAAAGTGATGATAAAAGTTCCAGGGCTTGGTGATCAATTAGAGGGAAAGCGCAGATTCTAGCATGGCTCCCAAGTTTCTTAGAGACTAGGCAGATGTTGGTACCGTTCTCTGAGACAAAAAAAAAAAGGGGGTTGGGAAGGTTATGAATTTGTTAAGCATACTCTGTTTACTACAGCAATAAACTATTATATACCGAAGATGGGAAAGATTCAGTAAAACCACTATCATTACATTTCCATTCCCTTACAGATTTTTTTTTAAACCTATATTTTTTCCCAGGGTAGTTTTCCTATTGCCCCTGAGTGTCAGACTGTCAAATGTATTTGTTTCTACTCCTAACTTTCTAAAAGAATTTTCAGTGGTTTGCTTGGTCGTGCCTTTACTTCTTAGAGACAAAATCTGGAATGACAAAGTACAGTAGCTGCTCCCGTAATGGTAAATGAATGAACTCATCTTCTTCCAGAAAACAATAAATGTACACAACACAATACTCTGAAACACGCCCAACGTCAACAACGCTACTAAGGCCATGACTCTAGGGTGGCCTATTAATGTTCCAGCAAAATAGTAGTTGCTGTCAGTAACATAATTAGGAAATAGCACAGGTCAACCATCCACCAGTCAAACCCTGAACACTGGCTTAACATCAAGGGCAAAATCCTACTTTAAGTTTACCATTACAATTATAAAAGTTACATTGCAACCAGGGTATCCAAAATAAGTTCAAATTCAGCCCCTTCATTGTGGAATCAAATCTCATCTGTGTGGTATAAAAGCAACACTGGCCTTAAGAATTCAAGAAATTCTGTAATAACTTAGACTATCCAAAGTTTCAGAATTATATCATTAAACATTTATAACATTGCCATGTCTGGAAGAACACAACAATTTACAGAAGAAATTGTCAAACAAACCTCCCCCCAGTTTTTTTCCCACAGGGTCAAAAGAAAACGGTTAATGTATCATACAAACATAGAAAATTCAAACCTTATGGTTGTACATTAGAATGAATTCTAAAAACATTATTACAACTGTACACTTTTTAGTATGTTTCTGCAGATAGCTAACTTTTGATTCCATCTACTCTGAAAATTGGTCAAATGTGGCAGCTCAATAATTCTACCTAAAATATCATGCCATCGTTATTCTAGCCATTTCTCTAATAATGTGATAATTCATTTTTTATATTACATAGGTATTATTCAGTTTAATATCAACAGAGTAGGAAATTAATCTTGTACAAATATTAAAGACAGCACTGTTCAATTATGATCCAGACTCTTACTAACTCTCTAAGTTCAAGATTAGCCATCTGTAAAGTAGAGATAAAAATATTAACTCGTGGGACTCCCCAGTGGCGCAGCGGGTTGCATGCAGTGCTGTGAAGCGGTCCACAGCCTCTGCAGCATGGGTTTGAATCCCGGCTGGCCAGAAAGATACCCACATGGCGCGGCAGACCTCTCCTGTCTCGCCCGAAGCTCCCCTCAGCAGTGTTTTCCATCACTCTGCCTGTTCTGCTCCCCACTCTGTCTCTGGTGAATTCTCTCACCCTCCTGCGCCTCTGGCCTGTACCCAGTTCTTGTATAAATAAATAAAATCTTTAAAAAAAATACTAACTTGCAGAGTTGTTGTCCTCCTTAAATGACAAACTGCCTAGCAAATGATAAACACCTCCAAAAATGGTAACTTGAAAGAGGTTAGGGGGAAGAAGCGCAAAGGAGAGTTAAAGATGAGTTCTTTACTTCTAATCTTACAAAGTCCAGGACGAAACATATTTTGAGGTCCCCTCAATAAGGAAGTGATATAATTTAACCATATAAGGTAAAGCAGCTATCTACTTTTTTTTTTTTAAAGATTTATTTATTTATTTATACAAGCACTGGGTACAGTCAGAAGCACGGGAGGGTGAGAGAATTCACTAGAGTCAGAACAGGGAGCAGAGCAGGCAGAAGGACCAAAGTACACTGCTGAGGGGAGCAGCGGGTGGCAGGAGAAGTCTGCGCGCCATGTGGGACCCTCCTCTGGTGGCTGGGGAGCAGCCGGGGATCAAACCAGCGATGCAGAGGCTGCGGGCAGCCTCGCAACCCAGCGCTCAACTGCTGCGCCACCGGGGAGGCCCAACTATCTACTTTCTTAACAGTAAAGTCTGAGAACTACTTGTCAAACAACAGAAACCGAAGAGAGTAGAGGCTTTCAACTACTATGGTACTATAAGCTAGCAGGGACGTTGCACTTCAACTTTAGCATGAGGTCTCTCTAAGCAGAAAACCAAAAATAGAGATTGTACCTAAAATAGTGGTCAAACAGTGACTGAACTAAAACCTGTAAATTAAATCTCTCAAGTAAGAGCAGTATTGGAATGTTAAGGAATGAAGCATGGAGGGAAAAAAAAATCACAGCTTGCTTTCAGAAGATATGAACAATGCACAATTAAAGCAAGAATTCTTACCCAATAGCTAAGTTCTCCAGGAATTGGTGAAAATGTGGGTGGGCAAAGTGTCAGAGTGCAACGTACTTGCAACATCAGTGGTATCAAGAATCTGCTTCCCCTTCCCTAGATCAAGTCTTTCAATTCTGTGCAACACTGAACACAAGCCACACTCTTCTAAGTGACTGCCTCATGAGTGAAAAATAAAATACCTCTATTAAAAATAGAGCACTACAGTGACTAATGAGAACATCCTAACAAGAAATAAATTGGAAGGTTTGGGATGATACGAAGACTACCAAATACTGTTTTCAGTCAGTACAAAATGTCAACGTGGGAATTTTCATCTACGGAGGTAGGGGAGCGGGAAAGGAGCCAGGAAAGGTAAAAGGAAAACAGGAATTAAATGTCAGGTTGGGACAAAAAGGCCAAAGATAACCTCTGCTCGAAAAACAGTGTAAGGAAAAAGCTTCAGATACAGTAAAAGCTGGTAATGAAGAGGCTCTGGTATTTCCTGGGCATGAATCGGACATGTTCTTCCCAACAGGAAGGGAAATCAGCTGCTTAACTCCAGTACCCACTGTATCAAGACAGATTGGGGGGAAAAAGACTGATTTCAATTTCCTTCACACCAGGCTTAATCAAAGCAGGCAGGATTTAAGAACACTAACACTAAAAGGAAAAAGTCTCATTTAATTGCTGAAGCTGAAAATCTTGCAGTAGGTTAAAAAAAAGTTATCTGCTCCATACAGATAAAAGCCTTAAAATCAGAAGCATGGTTGAAATCACACTGGAGCATGTTAAGTCAGAATTAAAGTAAAATCAGTGAGTACTAAAGACTAATTCTTAAAGAGTCATTTGTGGAAACAGCAACAATTACTTGAAGAGAGTAGATACTAGTCAGTCTCTTAAGTGGGGAAGGTTAATCCACCAGAAAGGAAAAATTACAGAAAAAGGAGGCCTGAAAGACAGAAGACAAACTCAAAATGCAAATTTTTATCCAGGGAAATAAAATGACTACCATTACACTACTTTTGGCCAGGTAGCTACCAAGAGCAACAGTACTTACATATATGACCATACTTCTTAACCGAGGCTGACTCAACTTACCAAAGATTCTTACCTCCCCAAATCACTAGCCTGACATTAAGAAAAAGTGGTGTGTATTTCCATTTAGATCTTTCCCCTATAAATTTTACTGATTCAAAATAGTTCAAATAGTATTAATACATGAGATTATTCTAAGATTGCTAGTATTCTACTAGATTGTCAGTATTGTGCTAAATTACCATGTACATCTAATGGATTTGAAAACTTGAATCTGAGCCCTAGTGGTTTTACTAAAACAATATAAGATGCCCTCATTCTTAAAAGAGTAAAACTGAGCTTAAGGAACAACTTTCTAGTTTCCTCTGCCTTCCATTGTGTACTGATAACAACATGTAGCCTTCAACACTGAAAAAGGTTTCACTCACTCACACGCAATTACAATTCCAGAAGAAAAAAAAAATTCTACGGAGATATTACTAGACTTTTCAACTTGTTTGTTCACTAATCCAAGGTATTATTTTATCCATGTGCTTTCACACAGGTTCTGAATCAGTCCCTACAAATTAAAGAAATCAGGTTGTAGGCAAGTAATAAAAATTTCATAATCCACTGATTATTTCTTATTTTAAAACCTGCTGATAGTTGTATATATACATTTTTGTAAGCTTCAATTCCTTTCATTAACTAAAATACCCCAAAGGTAGGCAATGACACAGTTACCATCATTTTACTGAAAATACACTCTCTTTCACTTATTCCACCTACAGCTTCTATTTCAACCATTCAACCATTTTTAGTTATATTTTGATATAATTTTACTAATGCTTCCTCAGATAAATGTTTTAAATGTACCATTAACATGTCACATGGTCTTGGGAAAGCTAAAATGACCCTGCAAAGATTTAGTCTGGCTTCCTAGTTGTATAGATGAGGGACAGAATGATCACTTCCCTAGCCATGAATGCACAGCCAAATACTGACAGCAATGTGACTAGAATCTAGTTTTTCTTTCTACAACCCCAAATCTCCCTTGATTCTTTCTGAAAGATTTCTCATCTCACCTCTCCTTCAAAAACCTTATTGTAATTAAGAGACAGCACAATTAAAACAACACCTCTCAGAATTTATCTTTAAAATAATTCAACTCAATAAAGAATTGGAAAGATTTAACAAGACATAACACCAAAAGTCTTTTGGTTCAGGGAGGGCACATACTAAGCACTCATCACATAGTACCACTACTGTTGTTACTATATTACAAGTAAGATAATGAATTTTTAAAGTACACATATTAGCATGGTAGGCCAAGGATCCATCTGACACATCTAACTTGCACTTAATTATCCTCTATATTTTAGTCCTCTATATTTTAGACTGTAACCTTACACTGAATTATGACCAGCCCACAATGACCTTGCTTTTTCTTTCCTCTTGTACTTTTATAGATTGCTGTATGGCGACATTTTCCAGTAATAAGTGGTCAGGTCCTCGCAGCCCTGCAGATACAGACATCCTCCGCTGACTCACAAGGATCTTAAAATATGACCCAAATACAGCTTGAGAACGACCACAACTTTAAAAGGACTCTCCAGTTAAAATCCAGCGACCTACAAACAGTGAACGGTAACAAGGGCAAGCTGCTGCCATCCACAAGCCATTTTCTCAAAACCACACTTGGATCTGGGGGTGGGTGGCAAAAGGTTAAAACAGGAGCAAACTATTCCTCCTCCAGCTAGTCGTTTGCAGCCTCACACCAGCGATCTGGAAATGAATGAAAGGCTCTGCCCTGACAGCACAGGAAAAAAAAAAAAAACCCCAGATCCTCGCGCAGGTCTCCGGGAGGGATGCAGAGAAATCATGGTAGCTCACAGGCGAGAAAGTCAGGGCACAGATTTAATGTTTTTTGTTGTTGTTGTTGGTTTTTTTTTTGTTTTTTTAAAAAAAAGCCTCCCCCAAACCATCTCGACCACAGCCTGAAACCACACACCAGCCGTAGCGGGGGGAGGGGGAGCAGTTGGCGGGCGGCTGCGCCTCCAGCTGAAGATGCTCTGAGAAATGCCCGGCCAGGGGCGAGCGGGGCGCAGAGAAGACGCGGGGTTCAGAGCAGGGGCAGGTGCGGGGGGTGGGGGGCAGGCTTTGGGCCAGGTGAGGGCGGCGGGGCCCGGCGAACCCGAGGCCCGGGGCGGGGCTGGGGGCCGCCGGTCGCCCCCCGCGCCTTCACGCACTCACCGGCGCCGCCACTGCTCGCGCGGCCACCGCGGCCCTTCCCGCTCCGCGTCCTCCGCCTCCTCGTCGGTGGCGCCGCCGCCGCCAGGGCCGGGCCGCTCTCCCCTTCCGCTTCCGGGAGCCCCAGCGCCTGGGCGGCGAGGTGGGTGCCCGCCCGCCCGCGCCTCGGTGCCACCGGCGGCGGCGGCCGTTCCCGGGGCCGCGACGGGAGCCGCCGAGGGCCGAAAGAGCAGAAATGGCGCCGCGGGAGGGGGGAGGCGCGCGGGAGGCCCGGAACCTGCGCCCGCCGCCGTCGCGCGCTACCTGACGCCCTCGCTGGGCGCCGTTGCCCGCCCTCGCTCCCCCTTCCACCCCTGCCCGGGCCGACCTTTTCTTTGTCCCCTTGGCCTCAACCGCCCCGCTCTTCAGGAGGGCCGGAGAGACGTCCCTTCAGGGAGCGCTTCTGTTGTTTCCGCGTCAGGGGAGGTGGTCCAGGCACCTCTCTTTCCCTAGTGTTTGCTGGCGGCCCCTCGTCCCTTCCTTCCACGCGCGGTCCAGCCACAGCATCAGCACCCCCTGGGAACCTGTTAGAAATGCATGATCCAGGGCCCGCTGAATCGGTGTCTGCATTTTCACAGGGGCTGCGAATCACTCCTACCTGTGCACCTTAAAGACCGAAAAAAAGCACTGAATTCTAGTGCACCGTCTTGTGCCCTTCAGGCCCTGTGTGTGACAAAAGCTGAAGTCGGCCCAGCTATGCAAGGTTTTTCCTGTTGCTATCAACAACCAAAATCCATACCCAAGAAAGCTTTACCTAGTATTTCAGGAGATGGCCAAAAGTTGCCAGCTTTCTCAAATCTACAACTTGGGAAAAATTGACCTGACGCTGCAAGTAATCCACCTTAAGCTTTAAAGTAGTATCTTCATCAATCACCAGACTCACTAACCACCCCCTCCTACAACACCCCCCCCCCCCCCACACACACACACACACACACGCAAGCCCTAATGTGGAGGTAGATCCTTGTGTCAGCCTGCCACAGGAGAAGGGAATGTGTGGATGAAAGAACTATTATCTGCTACTAAAATCGGAACTCCTTATGGGATGGCACTGAAGTCTTAACTAGTTTCATTTACCTTTGCTAGAATGCCCTCCATCTTCATCTCTGGTGATCTTAATAAGATCCATGCTAGAGAATCAAATCAAATCCTGCCAACCCAGAGATCTCTCTCACCATGGCACTTTCATCATACACAGTGCAGCTAGTTTGAGGCCCCTGTGTTACCTTGTATTGCCAGTTATTTTTTAAAGAGTTGTGTTCTGGTTTCAGAATTAATAGCATACATCTTGTAATCTTAAAGACCTAGATCTTTGGCTATCAAAGTTTGGTCTCCAAACTAGCAACATCAATATCACCTGGGAACTTGTGAGAAATACATATTATCCAGCTCTACCCCCAAATCTACTGATTAGAAACATTAGGGGTGAAGCCTAGCAATATGTGTTTTAACCAGCCTTCCATCTGATCCTAATGCACATTCAAATTTTTAAATTAGTGTCCTAGCATATTTCCTCTTACTCAATGGTAGGTTTTAATTTGACCCCATGTAAGTTTTATTGCCATTCAGGTTAAGAAATAAATGGTTCCATTCATACATACACAATTGCTTTAAGAAGAATTTATCTTTTATTTTCATTTGATGTGATAGGATTTTTGTAACTTGGTTTGTGTGAAAAGAAATAATCCAGATAACTAGTCACTTTGGGGAAAATAGGAAATATGTGGCGATCCTTCCCCACACACACACACACACACACTAAATTCAGGTACCTGAATTGCATATTATTTGGTATGTCAATGCACTTCTATAAGAGGGAATAATTTGTGACAAATGATTTCAACGAGTGCCAAAATGAGAATTCATGATGGGCACATGAATTCACATGACAATTGAAAGTATACCTATTTTTCATGTCCCTCTCTTTTTCCCCCATGAATTAACCTGTCTCCTATCACTCAAATCAATTCCACAGAGAATTTTCTGAGAGAAGCATAGGAGACACATGCCAAGGAAAACATTCTTAGAAAAAATTCATAAAACTTTTTAGGATGGAAAGTTAAGAAGCATGATCACAGGTTTATCTGTCCTTTCACTGAAGGTCAAGTCACCTCGTCCTATCACTAATGCTAAATATTGAATGCAATGTATTGTAATCCATAAGCTTAGACACCCAGGTCATAATGAGAAAGTAAGGGAGACATGGTGTCATGCAATCTTTTGGAGGAGCTTTTCTGTTTACTGTAAGAATAGAGAAGATAGGCGTTGTGAACTATTTTTCCCTCCAGAATTCTAGTCTACTTCATTGTGCCTGTAGCTGAGTGAAGCATGATTATTAATCAGTCTAATATTTATCTGGGAATAGAAAAAGTAGACAAGGACAAGTAGCATTGCTGCCACTGCCAACTTAGCTTCTCAACAAAGGCACAGCCAGGGCATTTATGTGGATAAACTCAGCCAACTACTGTGCTTCTGTGCCGTGACGGGGGAGGACTGGATTTTACAGCAATTTCCAAAAGTCAATGCAAGTGCAGTCCAGAGTTTAATCAGTATTGGCTAATAGCCCTTGGCAGCTTTGGGTGGATGGCGTTCTCCACCTGCCCAGCTGGGTACCATGCCCTAAGCACCCACATTTGATGCACATTCATGATTCTTGGTTGCTTATAGTCATTTCTCCCATCTGTTTGAGTGGCAGAGTGCCCATTCCACAACAGTCTAATATTCTAATAGTTGTTCTTACCCTCCTTTGGGTTACACATCTCCTTAAGTATCTGATGAAATGTGTGGACTTTCCTCAACAAAGTATACACATACACACAACTATATAAATATGCACATCTATGTTATATATAAAGTGTCACAAGCTGCTCCACCTGTCCATACTTCCGAAGGATCACAATGAAGTCATAAATTTCAAGTTAAGAACTTGCCCTAAGACATAGACTATAGGTAAAACCCTACCCCCAGATATCAAGGATATAAATCAAGGATATAATGTCACTGTATGCTTAGGAAACAAAACAAAATCATTGTTAGATAGCATTATGACTACTGTGTTATGGGAGCACCAAAAAAGAAGCTGGTAGTTCCAACAGGGTGGTTTACAAGTGACTTCATAGACAGAGGTTCATGCATCTGATCAGTGAGAATAGGATTTGACTGGGAAAAAAGGATCCCTTCAGGATGAAGGATAGTACAAGCAAAGGCATGGAGACATGCAAATACAAGGTTTCATCTGATGATGGCTTAAATCAAAATACACGGGAAGACAGAGAAGAGATGGAAAGGTAGAAAAGATTCATATATATCATATATATATATATGTATATATAACCATCAAATAATGGTTAGCTTCCAATAAAATACTATGAATACTCTTGTTTCTCTTCATATCGTATAAATATTTTGCCTTTTACCAATACAGTGCTATGTCCAATGAGGAGCTTTTGGAGTAGGGTAAAGATTTGCTTAAATCTTTCCCTATTAACCTATTAACAAGGGCAGTGGCATCATCAAAAGGCAGAGTGGTGGGGCATTTGCAAAAGTTCTAAATATCCCAATTTAGAACATATTAGTGAAATTGCATGGCTTTGTCTCAAATTTTGGGAGTTGATTGGTGTTTGCTCTAGAGGTTTCTATTAAGTTAAATCAAGATGACTCTGACATTTTTATGGGTTTACTGCCAGTGGAGAAATGTATCTGGTGAATGATCAGGTGAATTTAGAGTCCAGGATGCTGAAAGAATTTAAAATCTGTTTAGAATTGAAAGATCAAAAATCAACTTGGACTGAAAAGAGGAAAAGAACCGCTGCCACTAATCAAATTCAGGGGACAGACACAAATAAAGCCAGCTGCAAAGTTAATAGAAAACAGTGTTTGTGCCAAGGTTGGGCAGCAGTTATAATTTACCATAATTACCTACTTTGGGGGTGATGACTGACCAACAATGCCTTAGAATCTTGCTATTTTTATTTATCATAGGGATATCCAGTGTCTCAGCTAACTTCACCTCATGACCTCACCCAATTTCTAGTTAATTCCCTCAGATCCTAACCCCACCTCCAAACTGCAAGCAATCCAAAATGGATTCCCTCCTTCCCATAGGCAGTCTTCAAAATCTCTCAAAGGGAGCCCAGTGCCTAGGTCCTCCAATTTATCTAGTGGCACTCTTTTGCCTCCTTGCAAAATAATCTGATTATGTCAGGCCACCAGCTTGTGCCTGATAGTCTTAGGTGATAAATTTTAACAACTCATTTGATAATGAAAACCACCTGTTGCCAGGACTCAACATCAATGTTCTTCAGGAAAGAGTTGTCTCTTTCTGTGTCATTGTTATAGTAAGGAGCTACCATTCAAAGATGTGAGGCTCAGAAATTTCACACATATGTTCTTCCAACCTGGGAAGAAATGATCAAGTCACCCTGGTCATTCAGTCTTTGGAGAAATGTGGATCAAGATAGAAGGCAGAAGAAGAAAAAGCCTTTAAAAACAATGTTTATAAATAGATTCCTTTTAGATAACTGTTTGGTTTAAATAAATGGGACTAACAGAGTTCCAAGACAGAAGTAAAGTGGGTCTAGAAGGATGATGAAAAGTCCTACCTTGGTTCAATATAAACAACATTAAAAATAGGACTGTATTAATGATGCCAACCTTCCTGCATAAAGGAGATTGAATGAGCGTGTCATTAACTGATATCATTGTAAAGAAAATTGCAAAAAAAATAGTCTTAGTTTGTTTCCAGAATAAGACCATAAGAATAGAAAAGAGCAAGATCTGTTAGAATTGGAGCTTAAAGAATGCCTGGGGCAGGAACATGGTAGGATCAAGTGTCTAAATACAATGGTTATCTTTTAGGTGATGAAAGAGTTACTCAATCCTCAAATTCAGAAGCAAAAGAAGAACCAGAGTCTCACCAGGTGGGAGATTCTGAAGGGAAGAGGGGGGTAAAATGTTAAACTTCATGATTTCTATCTCCGTGTACCCGCAAGAACAGGAAGTGCTGCATTCTCAGAAAGGGAACAGAAAGAAAGAGGGGTGTGCTCAGCGCCAGGGAAAGAGATGAAGAGCTTGAAGGAGACAGAGCTCATGACTCATATGAGATAAAGTTGACTAGGAGAAAAACACTGCTTCTGAGTCCTTCAAGAAAAACTCACATGCCAGAAATGATAAAAATAGTACTTTTCTGTTACAGTTTATATTTCTAGAGCAATTTTGTTGTTTCCCAAATACACCAATGCAACAGAACAGCTATGGGTTCATAGTATCCATAACTAGTAGAAGGAAAAAAATTAGACCTCCTTATACTTCATCTTTTGACACCTTGTAGTGCCACAACAGGAAACTTCAGTCTTAGCTGGTATTAATTGGTTGCCATGAGTGCAAAGGCAAATAGAGATGCGTGAAAAAACCCATAGGCAATGCAGGCTCCAAGTGTCATAATGGAGAACAGCATGGGTCAAGCAAAC